CATATCTATAAAGTGAAGGTAACATTAGCTACCTCATAGGATTAATAAATAATATTAACTATATGTAAAGATATGTCACAGAGTGGACATTTATAATACTTTTAAGTATAGAATGAAGCCAAAACATTTAAAAATTAAGTGATGTTGCTTGCATGAATTTGTGTTCCAAGCCTTGAAATTTATAATGGGTCTCTGGAAATGGTTAGGTCGAGTGTCCTATAAAAGTTTCTGGTGGCCATGGGATTATTTATGACATCATATAAAGTTAAAACAACTAGAATACCAGAGTGAGGAGAAAAAGAGATAGAAAAGTGAGCAACTTTGCTTTTGGAGAAGTTCGTAAAGTATTTTCTGATAACAATGGCAATAAAAATGAATTTTTTGTATAATGTTTTCATAACTTACCAAGTTTTTCACATAATTCTTTAAAATTTCATGTCCATACTATTTTAGGTACCTTTATTGTATTAATATTAGGGGAAAAAAAGAATAAAAGGAAAACTCAAAGATGGCCAATATTTTGGAGCTTATATAGCTAACTGTGAGGATGGAAATTCATATTAAGTTTTCAACTTTAAATCTTACACTCTTTCTTCTTCAGCATGCTTGTTCCATTATTAGCAGTTGTGTTTCTGAGGCAGGGGTGTATTTCAGAACCTCTAGGGATGGAGCCCGGGTGTATGTAATTTATTTTCTTCTGTGTTGAGACAGAATGCATACCCAAGTGATTCTGGTGCCCACCTCTGGTTAGAAATCATTGGTCTCTTCCTGGTTGAATTCTTCTTTACCTAAATTAATGCTTGCATCATATGAATAAGACAGAAGAATTAGCGTGATAAGCAATACACTGGTTTAACTTTCAGTGTTCCAAATGTTTAAGTAGGACACCAGCAACGATTGAAAAAGCAACACAGATTTACTTTCCTCTTCACTATCTTTAGTGCTTGTCCATTTGTCAGTGCTTGTGGAGAGCGGGAATCCAGACTAGCTCGCTGTGAAGTGAAATCTATTAGTGTTCCCTCCTCTGATAAGAACTTTGGCTAGTTAGTAGCCTGCCCTCAATGTATTGCAGTTGTAAACTGTTGACTCCTTATTGCTTATAGTAGGAAAACATTTATGAATGTTTTCAATTGGCTGGCTAAAGATTTTTATCAGTCTTTTCCCAGCTGTCTTGAAGATGCTTCAGTATCCTGGATTTAGTGGTTTTTCCCAGCCGTATATAATCTGAATGTTTCACAACTTTTCCTTTGAATGAGAGGACAGTGTCATAATGGAGAGGGAAAAGGGAATATCCTAGCAAACTCCCACGTAGGCAAAAATAAATCATGTTGCATAGTGAATTTTAAAAATGAAAGACCTTTTCGAACATAAAAAGACAGATTTTTATGGGAAGTGACATTTTCAAATTTGAAAATTAGGCATTTGCTATTTGAGACCATAAATAAAGTTTTTCAGTGAGTGAACTGTGTTTTGACTCAGTTGCTTATCAAAATGCAGTTGGATAGTGGCATTGTTAACGTTAGCTTTTAACGTTTTCTGAGTAGAGATCATTTCACTAGAAGCTATTTACAGTGGATATTGGCTGCTTCTGCATTGAAATTCGCTTGGGGTGTTCTTGTATATAGGTGTACCTTTCTTAACGTAGAAAATGAAGTTCTGATTATTTTTCATGACTGGGGCTTAGGGAGCTTATGATTAAATGGCTGACTTTAATATGGCAGTTTAGATTAAACTGAAATGATTTTCTTAACTTAGTACCTGCAAAGCATAACATTATATTCTTTAAATAAATACCATTATGTTAATTATATGCAGATTATATTTGTGTTGTACTGTAAATAAATTCACTTAAAAACAGGATGAAACCAAGGCCGTCAAGATACTAAAATTTTTTCAACTCAAAGATTGATTTTTAAAAACCTATTGTAAGAATTGAGACTTGGTCGTAAGTCACCATAAAAGTATTGTTAAGACAGCTATTTTTCTGTGAATAATGCATTCAGAAGCTTGTACTTGATGGATTTCGAGTTCTTTTCACTTGGTATTGACAATCTGTTACCTAGTAGTGTATGGCAAAAATAAGGCAATACTTTTTCTTTATTTTTTAAAAGCTGGCCTGTCTTATTTTCTTAATTTAAGATAATTGAGATTATACGGTTCATATTTACTTAAATCTAGAAGCAGTGTTAATGTATTCCAAAAGGTAGAAAACATGATACCATATTTCACCAATTCTAAGACACACTTCCTTTTCTTACATTAACTGCCCTGGAAAATGAGACGTATCTTAAAATTGGTTTGTGTCGTTTTAATGGTGGTATTTTTTTTCTTACTTGCTCATGTGTAAACGAATGGTACATGTTATAATCATTGATGTTTTAGGCTTGGTAAAAAGTGATCACTGATGTTTTGAAGTTTGTTGTAGAACTTAGACTCATTGTTACGATGCCGTATGTCTTTGTAGTGGAAGAAATCTATGCTGTGACTATACCATATTATGTGGAGTTACAGACCTTTACTAACATCTCTTCCTGTTTCCTTCACATCCACTCATTGCTATCACCCTAGTGTCAAATGGCACAACTAAAACAATTTAATAGTGAGTTTGATGTACTTTATTCAAGAGAAAACAATGCATGGATTGAGGGAGTATGGTACATCACAAGCACTGCCCAAGGTATTTTCTTACAGGATGTTGGAGGAGACAGCACTGAAACAGGGCACGACTGGCTAACAGGGTCCTCTTGCCTAGGGTAATGTAAGCTAGCTAAAGCCAAGTTGGAAGACTGTGACTGGTGTTAAGTTGCCTTGACAGTGAGGTGTTTTCCATAAGTGCAGGATGATGTAGGTTTAGATTTGTGACATGGGTGGGGCCAACTGGAGTGGCCTCATTTTGTGTGTCCCAGCGTAGCGATCAACAGTCACTAGTTAGGTTTTTTTTTAAAAAATTTTTTTTTTCAACGTTTATTTATTTTTGGGACAGAGACAGACAGAGCATGAACGGGGGAGGGGCAGAGAGAGAGGGAGACACAGACTCGGAAACAGGCTCCAGGCTCTGAGCCATCAGCCCAGAGCCCGACGCGGGGCTCGAACTCACGGACCGCGAGATCGTGACCTGGCTGAAGTCGGACGCTTAACCGACTGCGCCACCCAGGCGCCCCAGGTTTTTTACATCACACTGGTTTCCTATCTGTGGAAAGCCAGCCAGAACAATAACAGCAAAATGGAGATCAAGAAAAGGAGGAAAGACTTGGGGTCAGGGTTGGGGTGTGTAGAGTGGAGGTAGGGATGGGACCTCCAGGGTGAAGAAGAGAAAAATGGGGATAGCACATTAGGGCGCGTGTTAATGAGCAAGCAGCATTTTCTGTTTATCCAGCTTGACTTATCCTGGTCAAATCTCTGGTTGTGATATATTAGCTTGTGAACTACCCAGCAGTTAGCTAAAATCATCTCAGTCGTATCCCCTAGATTCTTCTTGCCGAGGCCTTTTTCTGCAGAAGTTGCCCTGTTACCCCTCCAGCTTTAGGGGTAAATTATCTGCTGGTATAGACCCAATAAAGGCTGTGTTTCCTTCTAATGTGCTGTCTCAAAATGAATGACTAAATGGGGAACTACTTCTTATGGAAATGAATTTTTCTACAAGGAATGACTACAGATATATGCACAATTACATTCGCTGTTTTTTATAAGAGGTATGAGACTACCAAACAAATACTTCATTTTAGGAACTTTCCTACCTTGCTCTGTCGTTCAGCATTTAGAGATTGGTGTAGTCTTTTCTCTTTATCCTATTTTATTTTCATTTCTAAACACAGTGATTTGTTTCTTTGTGGGGTAAATGTTTATTGCGTGTTCCTGCTTTACCTTTCCATCCTCTGCACTTGCTGGGTACACATTCTCCTGCATTGAGCAGCCTCTCCATACTCTTCAGTAATGGTGGTTTCAGTTCTTCCTCACTTAAAAAGAGTTACAAAGAATTATCTGGCTAACATACTCTATTTTATGCAAGATCCTTTGAAAAATTAAGCTTTAACATTAATAAAATACTTAAATTTCCAGTATAAAACCTAAATTGAGGGTAACTTTTTTTCCAAAAGGAATTTTTGCTGTGTAAAGGGCTTTATTTACCGGTCGGGTGTTTTAAACACTCTGCAGGGCCCTCTGGAAGCCACTCTAATTGCTGCCTGGTGTGGGCCTTGCATTGTCCCAGAAAAGGATTAAGAAGAATTGTTGCATGCCTGAAATCCTCAGGTTTCCAAAAGTACCTTTCGGAATCTTCGGATCTTCTTGAGTTAAGCAGACCTTTTAAAAGAAGTACCATATGCAGGGTGATTTCTTTAACTTAATCCAATTTTGCTATTTTAGAATTTTATAAGACACTTT